TGCTCGTAAAGACAACTCTAAAAATCAAATGGAGTAGGAGAACGGAGAAGACCTGCCCTGGAGTCTAGAAGCTTTGTCAAAACTCGATCAAAAGTGGTGTCTCAGTGTTATCCAGACTGAAGATAACAGTTTTTAATACACAGAAGTTTGTATGTTATGTTCCCAAGTAACTTGTGAAGTTAGACTAGTGTTGTAAGTGTAGGAGGCTCTCAAAGCGACAAGGGAATAATAACTTTTCCTCTCGCTGAGTATTGGCACTTTTTTTACCTTCACAAGCAGTGATATTCACCGAACGTGGTTACAGCCAAAGTAGTCTTTATTGCTTTTATACCAAAGTAGCATGTAAACAGGAAAATTCTAATTGGTATTTGTAGCTGTGTGTTTTTCATCAATTGTAAAAGCAACACAGAATCAGCTCAGGAAAGGTAGCAGTCCCAGGGCTTCATACCAGTTGTACTTGTGTAAGTGTCATGGGATCTTGTCATATCTGAACACTCTCCAACTCTGAATGACTGGTACTTCTATTTGGAAAAATAATTTAATTAGTTTAAAAAAGAGATTTTAACCAGGTGTATACTGTAAGATAGATCTAAATATTAGTTGCAGATAATGGCTAATAATTTTCATGCTTTTCAGTAAGTAGCAAAATAAGCAGAAGAACACTGAAGCAACAAATCAGATCAGCTTGCATCTGAGCTATTGACTGAGTAGTACATTGTAATTCCATAGTTCAAATATTACTGAATTTTTTTTTGAAACATTTGTGAAGGTGTGGGACAAAATCTTTGTTTTGAAGAAGTAATACTAGCTACAAGTTAGGAAGAAGGAGCTGTTTGTAAGTAAATGACATGGAGTAAACTGAGTATCTATATACCTCTATTCTAAGATGTTAAAATTTTCTAAAAGGTGGTTACTGGATTGACTCTGAAATGAAGAGAATTTCTGTCTCTGGTGCTTAGCTTTGCTCAAATTAGATTAATAGTTGGACTGAAATTGTGAGGACGGATGGATCTCATCAGGTCCCATGGACTTTTCATTTTTTTCTCTTTCTTTGTGCTTTATTGAGACCATTTATAGCTGTAACTGGAGTAGAGTTGAATGGTAGGCAGGCTCTACAGGAGGTAAACGCAGTGTGGACTGAAACGCTTCTTCATAGCAATTAGGTCTAAATCCTGTTTCTGTCAGAAGGCCTTCTCTACCATCTTCTGATTTCATGCTCTTCCTTAGTTTGTCAGAGAATTGGTTAATAGGTGTCTGTTAACAGTAACTGGAACTACAAAGCTGGAATTAAAGAAGGTAAAAAGAATGTAAAGGAAAAGCCTATAGAACTGCAGTTATGTTTTGCTCTTTTATTTTTCCACATTACTTAAAACAATGTTTAATAGCACTGTATCTTATTTTTGACAACAAAATATTTTCATGTATTCATTTCCTGCTTATAAATGAAAATTTAATACGACAGTCACTAAATGTCAGCACCTAAATCTTTGTAATACTGTTGTTCTATAGTGCAGTTTTGTTTCGTTTGGGACCATGGTTAGAGATCTAAGAGTGTTTTTTGTCAGTGCAAAATGTTTTTAAGGGGGAATAAACATTTACAGTATATTGGTAGCAAGGCCATGATTCTGTTGTGAAAGAGTTACCACTCCCGTTCATCCATTAATTGAAGACAAGAGTTTTACTTTTCTCATACTTAGTTTCCGTTTGCACATGATAACCTATGCTTTGTGAAACTATTAGACTCAGATGTATCAAAAAACCCCCAAACAACTATATTTTTATTTAGTGGTAGGTGTGTATTTGTTTTTTTAAGCTCAGTTTTCCAGATGATAAATTGAACTACCTTTATCATTTGGATACATATTATAGACCTTTAAAAATACAGACAATTCTAAACAGTTTGTTAGGGTCAAAAATTCAGATATCCATTAAGCTTCTTGAAGAAAGGGAAAAGTGAAAGTAATAAAAATCCCCTCCATGTATTTTAATGTAAGTAATTTCTTGAACATGGTATTTTTATACAAAGATATATTTTAATCATAAATGCCATTCTATTCCTCGGTCAAGTACTATGACAAATATAGGACATAAAACCATTTTATTGCAATGATTAGAACACCACTTCTCAACCTTCTTTATAAAAAAACAAGAAAACACTAAAACAAAAAACCAACCCCAAAACAAACAAACAAACAAAACCCCGAAATCCCCCCAAAACAGAAAAACCCAACCAAACCAACAAAACCCCAAACCCCCGAACTCCAGAGATCTATACCCTCGGCTGGTGTAGAGCAGCACAGCATCTTTGAAGTCATACAGACACTAGGCTGCTGAGAGCCCAGCCCTGGAGCTGTAGTGCACGACAGCAGTCTGGTGTAAGACACATTTGTCCACAGGGCTTCCAAAGCACTCCAGCAGAGCAGGTTCAGACAAGTGCATTTCAGCCGATCAGCGTATTTCAAATGTTGTGCTGGTTATGTGCATTAAATGTTTGATGACGTTTCTCATAACAAGAACAGCAGAAACAACAGGAGCTTTGAAAATAAAGATAGACTATTTAAATAGATGATTAAAATCTTAACACTACTAGGTCGACTAGTGTTAAATAAAAACTGTCTGTAGGTTTATAATAAATTAAAAATAACCTTCAAGTCTGATGCACTATTTAGAGAGAAGTGATGTTATTCAGCGTCTGGATTTGTAGAGCTACTGGAGTGCGTTTCAAAGTACTGCAGTGGTATGAAATTAAACCCTTCAAAATAAATTACACAGTGATCTGTGTAAAATTATAAATTGATAGTCAGTAATTATCCTGGATCATAGCTAGTGAAGTGTTGGTAGACCAGGTAAATTGAACATGGTATTCGTTTATTTTCTGTGGAAGCAATTTAGTGTATGCAGGGCATAATTTCACGCTGGCACTTGCTAATGGATGAGTAATAATAAATCAGACCACAGAACTCCTTAGAAACATGAAAAAATGAAGCTGTAGTTCAATAAAAATAATAAAGTGCTTTAAATGAGCATTCATTGTTTACTACATTGTTCCTCATTTAATGGTAGACATCAAAACCAACCTAATGAAATATGATAGTGCTCTAGAGTAAGTAAAACTGAGCCTGCTACTTAGTGTAGTCAGTATTTCCATCTATTTTCTTGTCTTGATGTTAGACTTGGTTTACTGTGGTATCAGAGTTGAAGCTTATAGTACGGGTTGAACTTGCACAGGCATAAAGATCACCATAAATATTCTCTATTTTAAAGTTTCCGCTTGCAAAAATGCGGATGTAAGAAGAAGGAAGCAAAAGAGCAATTTGGAAACAGTTCATATCCAGTGTATGTAGCCAGTTTGCCTGAAATACACTGCTCCATTTTGTAAGACAGAAGAGGGTTGCTGGGAATGTATAGAAATCTGAGAATTTATTTGAAGTCCATTGAGTGATAGCTGCTATAATATGGATGCTTCCTCCATGGCTTCAATCCACCTAAAAAGGGCAGGAAAGAAAAAGTGGCACATATAAAATCATATGCATTTTAAGAACGTGTGTATTTCAGGAAAAGTAAGTATTTTAAGAACGTAAAGCCTGAAGAGGACTGTATTTCCCATCCCAGCTCTAATGAGGAGCTAGAGTTTTGTGATTAAAGCAGGGAACTGGGTACCAGGACTCTTGTGTTCTAGTACGACCTTTAACAGTAATTTATTGTAAAATCTCAAAGATAGTATGAGTGCTGTCTTGGAATAGGAAAGACGAAACCACCGAAGTATGCGTAAAAGTAATAAAAACTCCCATAAACACTCTTTTCCTTCCCTGTGTGTCTTGAGATGCTGGCATTTTTATTACTAACTTAATGACTGTATTCCCATTAGAATGGGAAATCTAAACAATTATTTGTTGATGAGGAAACTAAGAGATATCAATCAGAGAAGCTCCTGTACAGTATCACATTTGACAGACTTCTAAGCATGAATCTTGAGACTGAGCCTCCTCTTTACCTATACAGGGGAGCAAATTTTTCTTCCCGAAGAAACTGAAAAGCACCAGGTAGATTTTTAATGTCACCTGGGCGAGTCACATGCAATTGGGCTTAATCAGCTGTTTGTTTCCTCTGTTTTGAAGGCATTATGAAGTGAAGGAGAGGGAAAAGCCCTACATAAACTTTTGGACCTGCACACTGGCTATTGTGGAAGTCTAGACCCATACCTCTGTGCTGAATTGTTATCCTCTGCTCGAAAGCTATAAAAGAGAGTCTGCTTGTGGTAGAGATGGAAAACTGTATCTGTACTTCCTTCCTCCTTTTCTGGGGAAATGGTGAAACCCAACAAAGGCAAACTTTCTGTGGCAACTTTGTCCTGAAAGCAAACAAGAAGTGAACCAAAATTAAGAGAGAAGGCTTGTAATGGTTTGAGGGCTCTTTCTGAAGACCAAATAATGACATAACCCCTCTCTCCCAATTATGTTCCATTTCAACCGTTTTTATTTGCTGAGTGCCAATAGTAGTCTTTTTGGTACCTTGTCATTTCCTTTCATAGCACTAGCAACTTTTTTAGAAATCTGCACTGTCTCGAACAGCACACTTGCTTTCGAAAATGCTGCTTTGAAATTTCTGAGCTGGTAATGCAATTAATTGTTTATTTACTTCCAAGAAACATCCATGAATTTTGCTTGCCAGACGCTGCTACATACAAATTAAAGAAAACAATAAGCCTTAATCGAATTGCAGTTTAGATATTATTGACAGCTGCACTTTTGATCACTGTGTTTAGATAATGTTTTATGTATGTATATATTGCCTTTGCCTCTGCTTTTAGAAGCTAAATTGCAAACTGAGATTGCAAAGTGTAATTAGCCATCCATTGCTTTTTCCCTATTGTTGAACCAGAAATGATCACTTTTAAGGTTAGCAGAGGTAGGGTAAATGTACTGGATACAGAATTTGCTGTTAATTTGGTCTGAATTGCCAAATCATTAACTCTTCTGTGCCTCATTCTCCTCATCTGTTTAAAGAGGATACTATTGCTACATGCAACCATCACAGTGGTGATGAAAGTTTAAATGATTGATGTTTGCAAAGTGTTCTGAAGTCTTAAAGTACCAAATATTGCTATTACTACAGTTCTTGCATTCTGTGTCCTTTGTTCAGCACAGTGAATTTTTATGCTTCTGCTTATGAAATCTGTCAGTTACAACCAAACTTTATATCACACTTACTTCAAGTTTATTTGTATTGCAGCTATTCACAAAGGACAAGAAATTAAAATAAGGGAGTGGGAAGGGACGAAATGCAGAAAAAATTACCTGGTTGATATCCAACCTCCTTGGCTGTAAGGAGGATCTTACCGGCCTATACACAAGGCAGTATTCTCACCTCTGCGGACTGTCTTTCCCTGTTGGTACTGGTAGGACAAATATTTCCTATTTATACTTGCAAAACTACAAGATTCTCCTCCCCACCAGAAATGGATCATAGCACCATCTCTCTACAAGTAAATATCTGGCAGTTACCAAGTGCACCAGAGAATGCCGAAGGACCTCGAAGTCTTCAGGTGTAAATACGTATAGGTGTATGTGGATTCAGGTTCACAGTGGCTGACAGTTTATAATAGCACGAATGGCAAGAAGTGCAATAATGAAGGGCAGTTTGTGAAGAGGGCTGCCGAGGTCCAGCTAGGGCTGTAGCTAGGCCCCTCAGCTAAGGACAGCTCCCTGGGGACTCAGTCTGTTAGGACCAGGTCTCAGAATGCAGGTAGTTGTGAGAACTGCCATTTATACCTTTCACATTTCCTCGTGCTGCCTGTACGGAGTAAAGAAGGGAACTCAGATAGGAAACTATTTCAAGTCAGATTGCACAGTACCTCATTTGCTATGTAGGTGTAGAGGACTTTGCCTTTGATAACAAACCAGCGTTTCTTCCAGTGTCTTTTGCCTCTCTTGCATCTGCTGAGATAACCACTGATGGTAGCTCCCTCTCCTGAGGCCGCCACCTGGAGCAGAGTAGGAGAGATCAGGATTTGTAACAGTAAAGGCTTTTCCCCTCCTGATTGTGCATGTTTGCATCTCACCAGACAACCAGGTCTATGTGTGTGAAACCATAAGTAGATTGTATGAAAAAAACAAAACAAAACAAAAACACATAAGTAAAGTAAATTAAAAATATCGAGACAAAAAAATATAACGTGGTATTATGGTTCTTTTTAGCTGTTTGAAGATTTCTGGTTAAAGTGAGTTCTCAGTAACTCTGTTGGAAACTATGCAGTTGAGTTATTACTGAGGTCAGCAAGTTTACAGTTGTGTTCTGAGAAGCCAAACTTGACCCTACTCTCAGGTCTGGCTTTTTGATATGTTAAAAGTACATGCTTCCAAAAGGGAATTACAGCCTTGTGGCTGAACACTTCTAAGATGAAAGTATCTTTAGGACTTCGCAATGGTTTTGTATCAATTTATGTTAACCACTTGACTATGACTTCATTTCATTTGTGAAATAATATTTCTGAGAAGTTACTCCTCTCACAGAAGTATTTTGAGATCTAAGTGCTTAATGTTCTTAAAGATCCAGATTTTGAGTAGATGGAACTATACCCGCACACACAATGCAGCGTTTGTTAATTAATTACAATAGTAAACTGCAACAGTATTGGATTTAGAAACAAAGGGCAGAGATTGAAAACCAGCTTTTGTAGCACTGACACAAGAGAAGACTGAGGGGTAATACAGCAGCGTTTTGCAGCAGAACAGAAATGTTCCGGGACCTGGGTAGAGCAAGTTAAAAAAGTTATGGAGCAATGCTATTGTGAGATGATTCGTACTAATAAACAAGCACTGCCTCCCCGAGGATAGAAGGGCAGTGCTTTTTTCCTAATGGGGCTGAAATTTTTGCCTGCAGGTTCCTTCAGTATTCCATTTGTGTGTTTGTATTACATGCTTGTAGCTATGGTTCAGTTTCACCAGAGCGCAAGCAGACCTCAAGAAATTCCAGTGTCTCAACTGTACATTGAGTTCAGCAAGATGTTTGTACTCTGTTCTCTCTAATATGACGATAAATACCTGCTGATTTCAGTGAAATGGGAGTGCCCTACAGCACTTGAGTTCAGTGGGCAACTTACCTAGACTACATCAACATAATTGGCACCTTGTTCCTGTAAAGAAAACTGATACAGCTGGAGAAATCCTGACCCCATTGAAGTTGGTGGGAATTTTATGTTAGTGGGATCTTTACCCTTTAATTTGAAATAGTTTGGTTTGAGCTGGAGGGAAAGTGCCTGATTAAACATGTATGCTCCTGAGTTGATTGCCAAGGACTAAAGTCTGTTCCCTAAGTGGTATTTTATTTCTCTTGAAATTGAAGTAAGATGTCAGAAGTAAAGGTCTTGTCAAAAAAGGTAACTGGTCAACAGTATATCATGCTCTATTGATACTTGTCTGTGCTCTGCCTTGTTGTACTATCTAGTACCTTGAAGTTGTCTTAGTTTTCTAAAGACTTCACAAGCTGATGAGCAAATTAAAGTACGTCACTCTAATTGAGTTTCTCACTGGGCTCAAGAAGCTTCTGTGGTATATTCAGAGCTCAGAGTATTTTGTATTTTGAACACTATTGTGAAAAACAGAAAAAAATAATTGCATGATGAAAGTAGACCAGGGCATGGGCTGGGCCCCCCGCACACAGGATAAGTTATAAATATAGCTGCTGAAGTATGAGCATATAGTTCTCTACAGTTCCTTGCCTTTCTGAGGCAGCTTGGTCCTACCTCCATAAGAGCTGAAGGGATCTTCTTCTGTTTCTTAAAAGATGAGTAATGAATATTGTGGAAGACAGAGGAGAAGGCACTGCTTGAACACCTGGATGAGGTTGGAGGGAAGCTCATGCTTAGTGGCCGCTCTGCAAGATTAAGAAAATTCAGAAAAGGAAGGGGGAAATGGATAAACCGGTGTACATCAGACTGGGGATAACAGACACACAATGCACCAATGAAAGTGACTAAAGAACATGCCATGCCATGTCCATAGCCTTTTTTTTAAACTTTTGTTTCAAATCACCTCTTTAAGTCTGATTAGATGGGTGGATTTCATAGCACCCTAAGTTAATGGTAGTAAAGTACAGATACTTGAAAGAAGCCTGCAAGAAAGCTGACAAAGCACAAAATACTGCTTGTTTTCTTCTAATGTAAAATCAGCATTAAGCGAATGGCTTTTCCATCTATCCGCTCTATAACACCTTTGCAGGATAGCTTCACTAATGGGACATTCTTTCTGAATGAGCCATTCTCTTTGAGTTCTGCATGGGAGAAAGTTATTCTGTCTCCGCCATTAACCCCAGTTGCCTGAGTTTGTATCTTCATAGTCTCACTTCTGGCAACACACATTATCTGGAAGCTCTTAGTAAAGCACAGCATTGTTATAGCACAAATCTGAGTTATCACTTCTTGGACACACAGTGGCTTGAGGATGCTTCTTTTGCTGTCGTGACAGCATCCATTCATGTGTTTGCTTGTCTAGTGTGCATTTCTTTCATCAGGATGGAAAAACTAAATTTCATCTGTCCTCACCTTCTTATCCTTGACAATACGATGTGCCTACTTTTAGAGATTGTCTACATGAATAGTGGTGCAAGAATATTTCCTCTTCATTCCCTGTTCCTATATATGTAGCCCCTGTCTCTCCTTTTATTTCTGATTTGGATGTATATTTAAATCGGAAAAGGAACTGATACAGTAGGACAATAAAATGGAGTTCTAGTTAGGCAGTAGCTCTTCTGATTTGAATTCATGCTTTCATCTGTATCCAGATTAACTCCCCATGTAGAAGAGCTCTTAGTGACTCTGCGCTTTACCTCTGCTTTTCTTGTTGTAAAAGCTACAACATGGATGAGGACAGTGAGGAACTGTAAAGGCATTGTTTTCTTTTAATGGATAATTCATTAGAAATTACAAGAAAGAGCTATCACCTGTAACTCCATCACAGAATAGAATAGTTCAGTTGGAAGGGACCTACAACAATCATCTAATCAAACTGCCTGATCAATTCAGGCCTGCCCAGAAGTTAAAGCATGTTATTAAGGGCATTGTCCAAATGCCTCTTAAACACTGTCAGGCTTGGGGCATTTACCACCTCTCTAGAAAGACTGTTCCAGTGTTTGACAACCCTCTGGGTAAAGAAATGTTTCCTGATGTCAAGTCTGAACCTCCTCTGGCAAAGCTTTGAACCATTCCCAGGCATCCTGTCCCTGGATCCCAGGGAGAAGAGATCAGGACCTCCCTCTCCACTTCATAGATTCATAGATTTCTAGGTTGGAAAAGACCTTAGAGATCATCGAGTCCAACCATCCCTAATCCCCATTAATATAATAATCCATAATCCCTAATTCCCCTCCTTAGGAAGCTGCAGAGAGCAATGGTAGCCTCTCAGCCTCCTTTCATCCAAACTAGACAAACTCCGGGTCCTCAGCTGCTCTTCATAGGACATAGGTTTATCATTATTCTGGTTTATTGAAAGGCCAGGGGAGCCCTCAGAGAACCTGGCTTGTTAAAACAGTTTTAGCTGCCATACTGCCTGGCACTCCTCAATACACATGCCTTGTGCTTGAAATGAGAAATCCTCTTTAACAAAACACAACATGGTAAGCAGATCCTAAAGCTTCCTCATTATACAGGCAGGAAATGGATTTGTCAGTTTTACCAAGAATGAAGGAACCTTACCTCTTTTCTTAAGTTCCACGTAGCAGCTGTCACAGACTTTGGCTGCTTGATCTTTGAGGTACTTCATAGGGTACTTGTTTCTTGAGCAATTTCGACATACAATCTATTCCAGGAGAGATGCACATGAATATAATTTAAATTTATATACAGGCACATACAAAACAAATCCCATGAGCTGCTTGGGAGAGGAAGGTAGATAGTGGACCAGATAGGACTCTCTCCTAACACAGTGGCAGTCAGGGTGAGTCTATTAACTGAAATGTGATTGCTGTAGGTTTACACTGTCGTAATCCAAGCAGAATTGATGGCTGGATTTGGTTGCACACCATTGCTTTGCTCATCTCCTCAGGATTTTATACCTTCCCTCCTACTGAATCACAGAAAAGATCACTTTAATATTACTTCTGGTTTTATAGCTTTGTTAGTAACATTGTTTCCTTAAGCAATGCATGTTCCCGCTATGCCTGTGTAGGTACAGACTGATTTTCCCTGTGGAATTAGAAAAAAGATTAAGTAAACGTTTTTTTCATACTAGCAAAAATCACTGGTAGCTTGAAACAAAAGAAAAAAAAAATCACTGAGGCTAAAAGACAGCCATGGTTTAAAACAGGCCTGCAGGTTTATGTGTATAAACAAATCTCTAGAGTCAGTGATAAAGGGACAAAACAAAAAAAAGCTTATAGATTCCCTTGGCTTTAGCACAAAACGCAGCAGCTCTTGAATGGAGCACAGAGGAAACTTTCCCTTTTATCACTGACCAAACCAGACTCTACTGATGAGTTTCTTCAGTTTTCCTGGAAGATAATTTTACCAGCTGTTATTAGGGACAGGCTATGGACTAGATGTGCTACTGCTCTGATCCAGAACAGAGCCTGTATTTTTAGTGTATTACCTCTAGAGCCAGCTGTGCATCAGGTATAATGGCCAGACTCTGCAACAGTTATCCTGTAAGCCTTCAGCTGTTAGCCTTTGGGAATTAATTTGACCCTCAAGGGATGGTTACTATCGTTCCTACTAAAGTCATTAGATACCTAATTACCTAATTTAGCAAAGCACTAACAGGTTCTGTGAGAAGTCAAATTCTTGTCTTGATGCTGCTACAAGTTTGTAGAAGTTAACAGCAGTGACAGCCAGTGTCCTAGAGGTGTGAATAGAGCCTCCCAGAGACGCTTGTACAGCTCTTACCTTTCCACAGGCATGGCAATGATGTCGCCTCAAAGTGAGGGTAAAGTCACAGCCACAGTTCATGCACATCATGACATGGGACACAGGTACCAAAGTAGGAGGTCTCTCACCCAAGGGTATTCCAAGCCTTTCCCTTAGCTTAAAATCAAACAAGAACAAATGAAGAAGGATCCACACTTCCAAAGTACACTCAGTCAGCTCTGCTCCACCACATACAATTCTCCTCTCGTTTCAGTCTACCTTCACCTGCTAAGATCCTGACGTTTTCTAATTCCTAATGCACATTGTAAGTGAGCTACAGCTCCTTCAGCACTGAAAGACTGTGGCCAGTCAGTACATAGTGCTGTTAAAGCCAGATTCACAGCACGTAAAAAGCCATATAGGTCTGTTACTGGTCAGGCACCGACACTCTTCCACATCAGACAAGGATCTGATTCATTGCATATGCAAATTGCAGGTAAGAACATGAGTTAAAGCCATTGTTTTTTTTTTTTAAATAATATCCATAAAAAGCTCTATAGCTTTCAATTGAAAAGGACCTGAACTCTTTATGTCATTACACCTTGGGACAGTTCTATGATGGGAAAGAGAATACAGAAAACAATAAAACCAAAAATTAATTTACCCACAGACAATCCAAATGTGATCCATGCTTTCCATGGCTGATCTCAATATATGTAAGCAGCTTTAGAAAAGTTAATCCCTGTTCCTATTTCTTGGAATGCACCATGTTGCAGTGTTACACAGGTGCCTTTGCTCTAAGGCCAGGGAGCCATGGTCAGTGTGGAACTGAACTCACTCTAATAAGCCATGTTGAGAAGCTGTGTTACTTCAGGTTCAGCACCAAAGTATTATGGGTGCCCCACTGTCAGTTCACAGCAGCTTAGTGTTTGGCACAAGTAGTACAAGCTATTGTGCCTTTGAAAGACTGTTTGTTAGGAGGGTTTCCTATGAGGAAATGAGACTTCTGCAGATAAATAGATTTAAGCACAGAAAAATCAAATTCCTCCAAATTTCTCCTTGTGCACATTCAGGTTTACATCAGAAGCAGAGCTGCAAAAAAAATTATTTTTTCATTTGTTGAAAAAGGATTTGGTTTAGGTTGCTATACTAACCAATTTATAATTTTTTCTTGTTAAATATTTGAAAGTAGATTAGCTTCAGGTCAGAAAGAAAACCCTGTTTTGTTTTTTTGAATCCATTTTTTACTTTCTGAAGTCTTCAGAAATTAAATCACAGAATGGCTGAGGTTGCAAGGGACCTCTGGAGGTCATCTGGTCCAACCACTCTGCTCAGGCAGGGCTACCTAAAGCCAGCTGCCCAGGACTGTGTCCAGGTGACTTTTGAGTATCTCCAAGGATGGAGACTCCACAGCCTCCCTGGGCAACCTGTGCCAGTGCTCAGTGACTCTCAATAGTGAAAAAGTGTTTCCTGATATTGGAGGGAACATCCAAACCTGTGTTTCAGTTTGTGTCCATTGCCTTTGGTCCTGCCACTGGGCACCACTGAGAAGAGCCTGGCTCCATCATCTCTGTTCCCTCCCTTCAGGTATTCGTACACATTGATGAGATCTGCTCTGAGCCTTCTCTTCTCCAGGCTGAACAGTCCCAGCTCTCAGCCTTTCCTCACAGGAGAGATGCTCCAGTCCTTCATCATCTTTGTGGCCCTTTGTTGGTCTCTTTCCAAGGTTTCCACGTCTTTCTTGTACTAAGAAGCCCAGAACTGAATGCAGCATTTTATAACTCTTTTCCTTTCCTCTCTTTCTCTCTCTTCCCCCTTCCCCTTTCAAGCACTGAAAGACTTAGCCTCCATTTACCTCCACACTGCTGTGGAAAGTGGAAGTATTGTGAGCTTTGTAGTCATCTGGGATATGTCTGCTGATGCAGCTGTACCAGTCATCCCTTTCCGAGCAAGAGCTGTGGAATGAAATACAGCAGAGCAGTCACTGACATGCACAGCAGGGACTGAAACAAGCTGTTTCTGGATCAGAGGAGAAAAGCTTCACTTTATGAATGTTTGCTTTCCCCCACTACTGCATTGAACTGGTAATTTTCCAACTAGGAACAAAATTGACTGTTGGACGTATTCAGCCAGATGATTAGTTATATCGTATCCATGGTTAGGACTGTGACTGAGAAGGAACTAAATGCCCGGAAAATTTTTCGAAGTAGTGTCTGACTTTGCTATAAGCTGCTCAATCCTAGGTTGCGTAGGACAGTATGAAATGTCTCTTTTTGTCATGTCTGCCCTAGCTTTTAGGCACTCTAGGGCATGTAGTGTTGGCATGGTTTGCTCAAAGAAAGCGTGTTTATGCTCATCTCTGCAGTAGGATGCTTAAGATCATCAACATGTTGGGCAATGCACGGTAGAGATGTGAATGCTTTGATTTTCCTCTAGCTCCACCACAGACAATCTTCAGTCTCCTGGCAAGATGCCAGGACAGCAATTTGAAAAGGAAGTTCCGCATTCCCTGTAGTTGCAGTTACGCATGGAGGCCAGCAGTTCTCCAGACTGGCCCCTAGATGCCCTCTTTGCACAAGGCAAAACAGTGAGCACTTAGTGCTTCCCTGCCAGTCTAGCTGTCCCAGAGAAGCAGCAGAGCTCTTAGTGCCTGTTACTTCCCAGATGCATTCGCTCTCTTACGGCCATAAGCTGTCCTGCCTGCGTTAGCTGGTTTTCCTGCTGTGACTTCAAACCGTGCGCTTCCTGTCCATCTGAAACTGAGCACAGCTCTAGCTGTTTCCAGCCTCAGTCACAAGAGGGAATGTGACTCAGTGTGGTCTTCCCTCCCCGAGTCATACCAACCACTCACATTAAAGCTACCCACTAGACTTTGTTGTAAAAATTAGCGGTAGCATCATTGCCAGCTGCTGCTCAGCTGTGATTTCCTCATACTGTCCTCAATGAAGGCCACCAAACAAGACATCTGAGAACAATTTGTCTTTTGTGGTTGGTAAAAAAAAAAAAAAGGCACAAAAGGAGAGGAAATGCCAGATTTATCAATGATCTCTGACCTAGCATCCCTCTACACCATAAGCATAAGCCCTTGTCTGAGAACACCAGCCTCTGTAAAATTCAACAAGCCTGTAGCAGAAATGGGAGCAGAAACTGAGCCAGTTTATCTACTGCATATAGGCTAACCTTCGCAAGCCAAGGGGCTATGTTACAGGAAATAATCTCTGACAAGAGTCACGCTACTAGTCAGTCCTTATTACCACCAAAGTGTCACCAAATTACTTTCTAAGAAATCTGAAGATGTCTGTGTCTTCCAGACAAATTGTGTTTGCAGCCTGCGAGGCACTAAAAGAAGTCCTGGCTTCAACCTTTCTCCTGCTAATTCTTTCTTGGAAATTCTCTTCACTTGAGAATTAAGATATTATTTTAATAAACAAAGGAAACCATGGCCCATATAGTGATGTAAATTAAAGCCACTTTGAGAAAGACAGATGAGAGGGACAATCTGCTATTAAAAGCCTGCTATCTAACTGGCCCCTTTAACCTCTTCTCCATTCTATTAAACATTTCTAGGCAGTAATCAGAGGCTATTAGGGTCTAAATGTGGGAATAATACCTGTCTGCTGATGAGTAAGATAAATTATGTCAATTGGCACTGGCCTGTTCTTAATGAGCTATTTCGTTGGTTGCATGAAGGCTCAGAGGAATTTTTGCAGAACATCTTGAGGCTTACAGAAGCTCAGACCTTGATTCACCATTGCCACATCTAGTCCTTGTGTGATTTTTGAGCTGTCAGTTATCATAGAATGGTTTGGGTTGGAAGGAATCTTAAAGATCATCCAGTTCCAACCCCCCTGCCATGGGCAGGGACACCTTCCACTACACCAGGTTGCCCAAAGCCTCTTCTCAACCTGGCCTTGAACACTTCCAGGGATGGAAGCCACAGCCATAAGTTCTCTGGGCAACTTCTCTTGTCTGTGTTTGCTCATACATTCTTCCTTAAGCAACTAGAAAGAGAAGGTCAAACTATCACTGCAGTCTCCTGGACAGCAGGGGATATCCATGGAACACAGAAACTGGAGTGGGATGGGATGGGATTTTGTCAAAGTGCAATCACTGTCACTCTGAATTAGCCTTTTAGGGAGGTAACACTGACTGCGTTCTCCCAGTGCTCTGGTATTTTAGATGGGCACCACATTGTTACCTCTGTGTCCAAACCCAACATTTTTGAAATGCAAATGAAGGTATAAGAGCAGTATGAGCCTTCTCCATAAAGGCTCTGTGCTTAGATCTGGTATCAGCTCACTGCAAGCCCATAACATGG